CTACAAGAACATACAAACGATCTCATAAGATCTTACTTCATGATTGTTTCACCTGGATAATGACAACCCAGGGCGAACAATCGGATACTAAGATCGGACAAGATTCTGCGTCTGATCATATATGATCTTGTACGATTTGGTGTGAATCGTACAAACAATCGTAGTCTCTAAAATCTTACATCAATTCTTATTGTAAGATTCTTGACAGATCTTGTTGTCTTGCCAGATCTTACAGTAATTTTACAGTAAGAATTGATGTAAGATTTCAGAGACTATGATTTTTGTACGATTTCATATGATCGTACAAGACTTACTGTCAGATCTTTTGACTTGGGAACCCAGATCAATAAATCGGACATAAGATCTTGTTGATCATGTGACATCTTATAAAAATCGTACAAAAAATCGTGGTTCATGCAATCTTATACTAAGTCGTACTATAAGATCCATCCAAGATCTTACTGTCACATAATATTTCCTATAATCTTAAAGTGAAATCTTACCGAACAGCAAGATCTTGGATGGATCTTATAGTACGACTTAGTAAAAGATTGCATGAACCAAGATTTTTTGTACGATCTTCGTCTGATCTTACAAGATCATATAGGATCAGACGTAGGATTTTATAAGATCTTGCTTTTTAATTTGTCGACTTGGGAACAAAACATTTCTTCATCTAGAAAACCATCAAACAGAGCTATTCTATTTGGTTGAATTCTCCAACGAGACATTTTCAATTATTCAAGTGTTAATAAGCATTGGCAATCGAAGGAAATAGATCAAGAGTAGTGTATGTTGACAATTTTCCTTTTAAAGAGAATCTCTGTTTGTCGATCTAGTCGACCACACTACCTTTTTTTTACTCTCTCAAATTATCAGCAATTCAACGCAAATTCGATTTGTTTTATCCTGAAACTTGATGTTTCTATGCGGTCATGCACAGTTTTTAGTAATAACAATATTTTACAGTATATAGGAGAAAAAAGCAAGCAAGAGAATCTCTCATGACTTTCTCTTTATTTGCACAGAAGAAAAGAAGCAGATCGGTTTCTTCTCTACCCGAGTCGAAACTTCTGTCCCGAATCCGATCGGATTCCTGAACTATCCCACGAAATCCGACGATTGGAATACCATCGGATCCGACTGTCGAAACCCAGGGGAAATCCATTAATTTTCGACTGTAGAATCCGGCAGAAATCCCGATAGTCGGATCCGATAACATCCAACATTCAGAATTTATCGGATATCACGATATCCGCCAACAAGAACCTGTCGGATCAGACAATTGATGATGTATCAGTCTAGTTACCAAGCCAACCAAAAATAGCATCTCATGCAGAGCAATCACTAACATTAATTTGACTACTGTAGAATCTCTCTCATGCTAAAACTTCTCATTTTCAGCACTTCAGTTCTTTCTCTTTACTTCTGGATTATCATCATCCAATACATCGATTTAAAATGAATAATCTATTGGTAAGTCAACTAAGCCCTACGAAATTGAACTTCCTTTTCATTTTAGGTCTATTTGAACTTCTCAATCTTTAAGTAAGTGATCTACGCTGTAAATTTGAAACAAATTCCACTTTCTGGAAAATTGAATTTTAAAACGTTGAAGCATTTTCAAGCTTCTATAATTCTTTCATTGAATTTCGAAGATTTCGAAAATGCTTGATTCTCCTGATTACAGAAATTCATTTTGATTTTCAAAAAAATGATTTCTCGACAAAATAGAAAATCAAGATGAATTTTAGAAGAAGCCAAAAATGGAAGCAAACTTTCTGAAAAATCATTTGAACAATGACCGCTATAGAGTTATTGTTCATTCATGTATATAAGCTAACCGGCACCGTTGTCTATTCATTATATTTTCAGAGGCAGCTGTAGTGAGTTGATAAATTGTATTTTTTCACCATCTGCGTGAGTCAGTCCATTTTGTATGAATGGACAGATAATATCTATTTATTTATTTTATTGGATGCATTTATGTGAATTTCGATGTTTATGAATTTATTAAAAGTCAAACTAAAGGAATCATTTGTTTTATTTGATGTATTTACTTCAATCCAATGTTTAAATAAAAATCAATGACTTATTTTATTTGATGTATTTATTTAAATAGAAAGCTTATCAATTTATAGTAAAATTATTTATTTTATGGGATGTATTTTCTCTTGGAAACAGAAAGACTTAGTAGGTTTTCAAATTTCTAGAAAATGCTCGAATCACTAAATTTCATGCGAATATCTAGGAATGTCCATATGAATTCACTTTCGATTTTCTAATTAGAAATTTGAATATCTTATTTCTATCTTCTTAAATATCGTATTTTTAAGAAAGTAGAAATTCATCGTTGAATTCATATGGACATTGCTAGAATATCATTTTTTATACTCTATAATGCATTTTCTAGTTTACAGTGTGTTTTAATCAAAAATGAATTTCTTTTTCATTTTAGGTCCATTTTAACTTTCCAATCTTCAAGTTAGTTAGCTATTTTCTTTCAAAATGAATTCTTTTCATTTTAGATCAATTCCAATTCTTCAATCTCCAAGTAAGTGATCTATCTTTATTAAAAATGAATTTTTTTAATTTTAGGTCGCTTGTAACTTCTCGATCTTCAAGGGTGGGTAGGTGAGGGCGAGTGTGAGATTGAGTGACATTGAAGAGAGAATCCTCACGTCTCCATCTACTCATCATCACCCACTCTCAAGTGCTGCGCAGAAAAACCGGCAGGATCCTATCGGATCCCTGGTTGATCCCATGGTTTCCGGCTGTCGGATTTAACTGTCGGAAATTGTCGGTTCCGACATCAGACAACTTTCGGTCGGATTCTTGCGTCAAGGAATCCGGCAACTTTCCGACAGGATCCTATCGGAAATTGTCGTATTCCCCGTTGGAAGTTGCCGAATTGACTCGGATTTTCGATGGAATCCGACTCTTGAATTCTTCGATCTAGTTATCTATTAAACTGATTGTTTTCTTCTCTATATCTGAGATTATTATCCAGAACCCGATAAATGACGAGCGAGAATTCTAGTTTAAATACTCGATGACGAACTTTTTTTCGTTCATTAGTCATTGCTGAGTAAATCTCTCTTTCCTATCGATAATTGACAATGATGAGCTAATTGAGACGAATAACAATTTTCTTAGTTAACCGTGACAAGAACTCGACCAAGGATTAGACATATGTGATGTTATGATTTTCTTCTCTGCTTATTTCTAGATATATAATGTTTTTATTCGACAATAAATTTTACATTATTTTTATAGCGATGTGGGTCATTGGATTATATTTGGTGTTCAACACTCTTCATTTCACATCCAGTAATGATAAAGTAGCTGAAGATCGAATTAAATATCTCCAGAACGAAGTTGATTCACTACGCCAAATAATACTTCAAATTCAATCAGCCAAGAATGCACCATTGTCATCGGAAAGGTTAGTTGTGTAATCTTATATCAAAACGAGCAGCAATCATTGATTAGACCGATCAATGAACGCTTAACATGATCAAGAATTAGGAGATCTCGGTTAGATATTGGGAAAAGTCAGTTAATGTTTTATTTACAGAAAAAAGTCGAGGTCGAATGTATTGATCGATCACTGCTGGTTTAATCAAGGTATATCATTGAATTCCCATCCAAATTAATATTATTCGGTGAAGAAACACGCATTCATGAATAAAGATCTCAATAGCATATGTTCTTCTTCCTTGTTTATCCTCGTATGTTTCCAAATGTTTTGCCTGTGTTGATCTTACCTAGACTCACTATCTAATACGCTCTTTCGGTAGAGATGATCTATAGTTGTATTGTGGCAGATGGTCCAAACACTGAAGAGTTATTTCTAAGGCTTCAAGGTCATCGAACTCTGTTTAGCATCGTAATCTACTAAAATATACGAAGTTTCGTTGAACCGGTGAATAAGAAACAACGTTTTGCGTAAATATCTGTTTGTTAACCAACGATGCATTTGGTCAGTCTCAATATTTTTCTCTCATCAAGATCGATATTTCGTTTAGCAACAGTTATCAATGTCATGAGCTACGCAAAGAACTAAAGCGTGTTAAGCAGCAATTATCAAGAAAAAATGGTGATACATCAAATAAACAACGTATGTTTATAAATAATATACTATAGTTGATCGGTATCGATGGTTTTGTTTAGATAAACCTGCACTAGAATATGAACAATTACGACGAAAAATCGAAATTCAAGCACGCGAATTGTCGTATTTTACTAGTGATCAATTACTGAACATCTCTAGAAAATTATCAAAAGACGATAGATCGAAATGGTTCCGAGTGGTAGAACGAGTTGCTGATCAAACAAGGTCTATTTCAAAAAGCTTCGAAAGAAAAATAATCAATACATTTGAATGTGTTTGTTTTCAGAGTACTCTTAGCATCAATTCGAAATTTAACTGAAGTTGATGGATATCAATCATGGCGTGAACATGAACATGAAACTCTGTCTAAGCTAATGCAAGCTCGATTGAAAGCCCTGCAAAATCCGACCAAAAATTGCACAGAAGTAAAACAAAAGAGTTGTAATGTCATTGACAATTGTGGCTTTGGTTGTGAAATTCATCATGCGATGTATTGTTTTCATGTCGCTTACGCGCTTGGAAGGCCAATGATTCTTGCATCAAGTAATCTTTTTGTTTTTGCATGACATGAAAATTGATATTTTCGAGACAATCAAGTTTGATGAGATATTGAATGAGCCAGAGTTGATTAACTTTGATCCGTTCAAGATAATACATATTTGTTCTCTTATTCATCAACTACAGAAGGATGGCATTACAATCCCGGTGGGTTTGATCAAATCTTCCTGTCTCCAAGCGAGAATTGTCCTGAAGTTATGGGTGAGAGTGAATCATATGCGCGTAAGATTCATCTTCTATATTCATATTTCGAGAAAAATCAAAGATGAATTTCGAATTTTTTCTATGTAATTACGAAATGGCAGAGACAATCAGTATTTATTCGCGAATGAATTTTCTGCCCATGGCAATACCTGAGGATATAGCGAAACGATTGATTCGTTTACATGGCAATCCATTTGTTTGGTTTACTGGACAATTACTCAAGTATTTCTTAAGACCACAACCATGGTTAATTGAATTCATCGAAAAAAAATCTCAAGCTATCGATTTTCAAACACCTATTGTCGGGTAAGTAAGGTGCCCGCAACGCAAAATTCAAGAAAAAATTTTTTTTTCGACTATTTTTTTAAATCACTTAATAGAGCTTGAGCTGCTGATCACGAAAAACTACTTTTTAGTCTAAGTGAATGTATTCTTCCAGTCGAAAAATACGGAATACTCGAAGGGTGTCGTTTTCTTCAAAAAACACATCTTTTTCAAAATGTACGAAATTTTCTACTTCGTTCTTTTTTTTAGCTTCTGAAAATAATTTTCTCAGTTACAGCAGCAAAAACTGAGTACAGACAAGTTGTTAAATTGTCTCTAGACTCAAAACTCTATTGGCGGTGGCGCTTCGAATCGCGTCGACTATGATGCGTATAAATCGATTTTGTAAACCTATCTAGTTTTTCTATGTAAACGATGGAGTCAATTATTTTTATCTCATTTCATTCATCATACCACCTGTCATCAAACTACATATCCGTTTTGTTCGCCTTGTCTTTCCTGTGTTGGGAAAAGCCAATTTTACTAAATTCTGGGTAAAAAAGTTGGAATTCTGCCAGTGTTTCTCGATTTTCTTCATCAAAACAAAGCTTTCACGCGATAAACTTATCAAATTCGGAATCAGCGTAAGAAATCGCATCGAGCCATGTATATTTCCAAAATCTTCGTCACCTTTCAGTTTTTTTCGCATTTTCAACTGAAGCGGTAACCGAAATTTTCATCAAAACTGAGAGTTGACGAAAATTTTGGAAACATACATGGCTCGATGCGATTTCTTACGCTGATTCCGAATTTGATAAGTTTATCGCGTGAAAGCTTTGTTTTGATGAAGAAAATCGAGAAACACTGGCAGAATTCCAACTTTTTTACCCAGAATTTAGTAAAATTGGCTTTTCCCAACACAGGAAAGACAAGGCGAACAAAACGGATATGTAGTTTGATGACAGGTGGTATGATGAATGAAATGAGATAAAAATAATTGACTCCATCGTTTACATAGAAAAACTAGATAGGTTTACAAAATCGACCTATACGCATCATAGTCGACGCGATTCGAAGTGCCACCACCAATAGAGTTTTGAGTCTAGAGTCGATTTAACAACTTGTCTGTACTCAGTTTTTGATGCTGTAACTGAAAAAATTATTTTCAGAAGCTAAAAAAAAGAACGAAGTAGAAAATTTCGTACATTTTGAAAAAGATGTGTTTTTTGAAGAAAACGACACCCTTCGAGTATTTTGTATTTTTCGACTGGGAGGATACATTCACTTAGACTAAAAAGTAGTTTTTCGTGATCAGCAGCTCAAGCTCTATTAAGTGATTTAAAAAAATAGTCGAAAAAAAAATTTTTTCTTGAATTTTGCGTTGCGGGCACCTTACACAGCGAACAAATCTGTTGTTGTTAAAACATTCATTGTCGTCTTGTATTTTAGGATACATGTTCGACGAACCGATAAAATCGGAACAGAAGCAGCATTTCATAATATATCCGAATATATGAAATATGTCGAAGAGTATTATGTTATATATCAATATCAAAATCCCGATTTAAAACTAACAAAACGTGTTTATATAGCTACGGATGAACCATCAGTATTCAGGGATGCTCGTTCAAAGTAACAAATGATTTCTTCCATCAATAAAAATGAACAATAACATTTTAGATATCGCGATTATGTATTTTATGGTAATACCACTGTTGCTGAATCTGCTAATTTAAATTCCAGATATGGTACAGAATCATTGAAAGGTATTCTACTCGATATTCATTTTCTCTCTCAATGCGATTACCTGGTTTGCACATTTTCCTCGCAGGTAAATCTACCATGAGAAAGTAACGATTTTTTTTCTTCTTATGAATCTATGTCGATGTAGATCTGTCGAGTCGCTTATGAAGCCATGCAACAACGTGTTGTCGATGGTGGATGGCGTGTACAACCGTTGGATGATGTCTATTATTTTGGTGGTCAAAATCCTCATCACCAACGTGCAGTGATATCTCATAAGGCAGTATGGCCAAATGAATTTAGTTTTGAACGTGGTGATATTATTAGTACAGCAGGAAATCATTGGGATGGATTTTCCAGAGGATCAGATAATACTAATGGCCAATCAGGGCTTTATCCATCGTATAAAGTCGAAGAAATTGTTAATATTGCCAAAATGTATGCCTACCCGGACATACATATCGAAGACAACGATTCCTAACTCCATCATCGGTCATTTCAGTTCAATGAGATTATTGTTTCTTTTTAGCTTTTGACTATTCATGGATTTGACGATATTGTATGACAGGATATTTTCAAGACATATTGAGCTTTCCATTTTTCCCTTTTCTGCTATATGATGAATACTGTCATTCGATCGATTAAATTATCGCATTGATTTTTCTGTCGAAACCTTCATTCCTGTTTGTTCATTTTTTGGTAACATGTGGATTGGTCCTTTGTTCTCCATTTGTTTTAATGCTATTTATATAATGTAGACAATTAATAAAAATCAATGTGAGTAGATCTGGTGGAAATGTTGACTGAAAGGAAATTGTTTACGGTTGAGGAAGGACATTTTGAGTTTATCAATACGTTTCCTCTTCCTTGATGAGTAGATTTTATTTGATTTAAAATCTGTTAACGTTTCGGTTAGAATCTAACCTACTTCAGAACTAACGAGGGAACCTCTCCAGATGTAAAATCACTTTTCGCTCGAGAGTACTGCCATGAGATAGGCCCTAATGAGTAGGTAAAAAGTATATTAGGAGTGTGGGTGGGTGTTATCTACAATTTAAAGACACATCCATACCCACACCCTTTGTGTAATTATTCGCTTGTTTTTTGAAAATATGCTTCAAGTTATTTCTTGACTATCAGTATCTTCGCTTAACAGATGAACAAAGATAAGAATATGTTGATTAGTATACATGAGCAATAAAACAGCATTATGAACTTCAAATACTTTGACTATCAGAAAACGACATTTTTTTGACAAATATCTCAATGCTTTGTTTTCAAATAAAAATCCACTTTGACTCAGACATGTGAACAAATAACATATTATGATTGGCAAACACATGCATATACACGCCGTAATAAAGCAATATTCTGATACCGAATAAAAGGATGAAAGCAGCTGCAGTCGCCGAATATGAAGCTTTGTTCAAGTAAAACAAATACTTGTTCCTCAACAGAGACGCATCGATATTTTTGTTAAACTTGTTGCTTGTGGGTGTGAAGGTGTGAGTAAACGTCAGAACTCCGCTCATGCTCGCATCACACCCATTTTTACGGATTTATTTTGGGTTACCCATTACAATGAGACTAAAGAATGTGAGAGTCTCACATTTCAGCACTAACAAGCTTTGTTGTGCTGTAACTTTTATATTCTTCTTATAAGGTGAATGATAGAGTTTGTAATATTTGCTTTTTATGTAAATTCACTATTTGGAAGTTTTCTTTGTTTAATTGCAAGAGAAAACTGCAATTTTGAACAAAAGGATTCATCACTCACACCATAGTTTTCGACTTTTTGCACAAGAGCTTTCATTTTGAAAAGTTGAGTGATTATGTTCGCGATGAACTTGTATCATTGTTACGATTCTCTTTCGCACATAAGCGACTTATGATCGATTTGCCACTTGTCATGAAATTTTGTGTATTGACGTCTTCTAAACTATTTTTCACTTCGATTACTTATCTATTTACTGTTGTGACGAATTTCTTCATCTGTTCAATGTAGGCATCATACTAGTCTTGCATGGCTAATCAATTTTGCATATATTACATCATTAGTTAATTTTCGAAATGCTTCAGTCGAAAATGAAAATGTGCCTAGGTTATTTTAATTCATCTAAATCCATTACAGAGATAATCAATTCGTATTTATCAAAATTTATTCAATCCAGAGATAAAATTTAAAAAGTCTAAAACTAAAATAAATTTAATTTGACAAGAGTTTAAATTTTAAAGTAAATTAAAAAGAAAATGGCATGCCGAATCGGTATTCAATATATGACAAACCACTTTACCAACATGTTTTATTATCAAGATACTCCATTACATTGGATAAGAGTCTTCACTGGGATGTGGGTGTGGGTGTAGGTGTGGATGTGGGTGTAGATGTAGGTGTGGGTGTGGGTGTGGGTGCGAATGTGGGTGAGGGTGTGGGTGTGGATGTGGGTGGGTGTGGGTAAGTGTGGGGTGTGGGTGTGGGTGTGGGTG